ACCGCCCGGCCGCCGGGCCTGCAGTTGCGCCGCGTGGCCTGCGGGGCGCTGCAGCGCCGCCCACGTCCCTCGCTCGGGTACCTGACTCGGTGGGAGCTGAGGTGTCTCGGCGGTGTATCGTCATCGTTCATTTTAACTCCCGTCCTAAAGCGGCTCCTCCTACTGTCCAGATGGCCTGAGGCGCGTTGGGATCGTCCTCCCACTAGGGGCAGCCACAGGGTGTCGCTGCCTGGCCTGGCCTGGCCACAGGGACGCTCACCCTGTCCCCACCAGGGCCCGCCCAGGGGCCTCCTTCACCCTGGGCTCCAGGTCAATGCTCTGCCCTGGTCAGGACCCAGGGAGAGCAAGGCCAGGGCTTCTCACGGGTTAGCCTTGAGGGTGACACCAGGCGCCTTCGCGTTCTGTTGGTGCTTGGCCCTCGTGGGGCCGGCCATTGCTGCTAGCAAGACAGTGCAGGTAGTGTTCAGAGAGCCTGGAAGAGTCGGTGCCCCGTGCCAGAGACAGGTCCACAATTAGGGGAAAGTCCGGGCTCACACCGAAAGCCTTTGGCAAAGCCACTTCAGAACCCCAACACTGCTGGTGCAGGCCTCACGGCCTGTCCTTGACCTGCTTGGCCACTGAGGACGGAATTAGGGAGGCAAGGCATGTTCGAGGCACCCTGATCCCAGCTCCCTGCAGCCGTGGCTGCGTTCGCCGTTCCCTCCTGCCTCACACTACCCTCTGGTCTCTGCAGAGCGAGCTGCACACACATGCCTGTGTTTGGCCTTCTAAACTTGCCGACACCGTCAGCCAGGGGTGGGAAGCCCACGGCACACGTGGCACAGCGGACACGGCCCTCTCTGTCACACGAGAGCCGAGTCACCGCAGCAGCTGAGCGTTGGGTGACAGCGCACACGGGGCAACGTCACGGACGGCGCCGGCACTTGGCGATGGATAAGTGGATTTGGGGCTGCAGTTTGCGCTCGGGCTCTAAAAGGTTCAGCATCGCTGCCCACGGCTGTGTGGAAGCCCAGTGCGCTTGGCCTATGGGTGCCAGAGGATTTCTGCCATCCTCTCCCCATCCATGGGCACTGGCTGGCCTTACCAGCTGCCTTCCAAACAGCAGCGCCACTTTGCCAGGGGGGAGCCCACTGCCTCTCCCAGCCCCTCTGCATCTCAGGGGGGCCGTTGCACGCCCTCCGCCGGGCCTCATCCATCCTCCCTGTGTGGAGGACCGTGGGCTTGGCAGGCGTGGCCTTCCATTCTCACGCCTCAATCCCGAGCACTCCGGTACAAACACTTCCAAGCCACACCGAGCTTTGCTGCGTGTTTTGAAGGACTATAGGGCAAAGTAAGGCAGGGGAAGCTCAGATGTTTGGTCCAGAGGTCAGAGCTGATCTCTGGGAGTGGGCATTTTCCAAGTCAAGGGCAGGACATGACCCCTCCGCCCCCCTGTGGATGTGCTATAAAGCGCTACAGGGAAACATCAGATTTCCCAAAGGCCAAGGCTCATCTCCAGCCTGTAGAGTACTCACAGGGCTCCAGCGGTGGGCCGGGGCAAAGCCTGTGAGAAAGGGCAAGGGGATCGACATGCTCAGTGACCAGAAAAGCATCTTCAGAAAGCCACAAGCAAGCTTCTGCCTCTTACAGCAAGAGGAGAATCAAGGAAGCGTGATGTGTAGCTTAGGTGAGGTTAGGTTACCTCGGGAAGAAAGACGGACCCAGTTCTAAGTCTAAAGATGTCTGCCCCAAGGACGTGCCGTTCTCTGAGGCCGCCCTGGCCCCTCGTGCCTCTGTTCCTCTCCAGCCCACCTTCATGGAGACAGAGGTCCCCGTCTTACGGCTCTAAGTCCTCACTACCTGGCTCAAAGCCGAGGTGCTTCTTGGGGCCGCTGGGAGGCCATGAGCAACAGGAGGGGCACTGGCCCGAGCCCCGCTGATCCGTCCCTGCTCCCCGTCACTGTGGTCAGGTCCCATGACCACAAGTCCTCACTTTCCTTAACAGAGGCTCTCCAGTGACACCCGGGCAGCAGGGACAGAGGTTCTGAGAAGGGTGCAGACCTCAGAGGGGTCCCAGGATGCAGTTATGGTTTCAAGGGTCAAGGGGCACTGGGGGCCCGGGAGGAGCCTGCATTTATGTCATTCACGAGCTTCCACTTGGGACGAGAGGGCCGCCTGAGAGGAGCGGCCCGGATGCCCGTCCCTGGCCCTGTCTCCTGATCTGGGCACTGGTGAGCAGCAGCAGATCCCCAAGGCCAGACCCTCACCCAGAGCCCACACACACACGTGCCAGCTGCGGTGAATGTCGGTTTATTATCTCAGGCTGTGGGCACCTACGTGACAACACAGGGACATCAGTGGGTGCCCAGGAGGTGCACAGTCGGGGGCCCTGTCGGACGTGACCCTGCAGAAGCGCTGTCAGTGCTCACGGCCAGCCAGGGCCTTTGCCCCTGCAGGGGACAGCAGGACCCCTGGAGAGGACACCCCAGGCCACACATCAGCCCCTCTCTGCCTGCCCAGCTTGCCACAGCTTCCTGGGCTTCCAGGGCTGCAGCCAGCGGTGGCCTGCACCCAGCGGGCAGTTCTCCCCCGTGTCGCTGTAGCCCGCTTGACCAGAGGTCGAGGGCGACTCTTGCCTGCTGGCCTGTGCTGTGCCAACCACTGCCTCCCACCACCGCGGGCCCCGGGGCGCTTCCTCCTCTTCGCCTGGGGACCTGGGGGCCACGCTCTGGCTTTCTTCTTGGTACCAGGTCTCCGGGATGCCTTCTTGCTGCTTGCGGGAGGAGCTGGTGTCTTAGAAGCAGCTCTCTGAGGCGAAGCTGGCTCTAGGCTGGGCGCCGAGGACGCACTGGATGAGTTCCTAGCAGCCTTCTCTGCCTGCTTCTTGAGCAAGTCCAGGACAGTGGCTGGAGGCAAGCGTGTACTCAGTAACACATCTAAGTCCTGGGAGGGAGCTAAGGAATAAGCGCCACCCAGGGGCCTCAACCTCCTGAGAATCTTTTTTTTAAAACACAGAGTCTCACTTTGTTGCCCAGGCTGGACTCAAACTCCTGCACTCAAATGATCCTCCTGCCTCAGCCTCCCAAGCAGAGGGTGGGCACCACCAAAGTAGAGGGCACTACCACACCCAACATGCAGGGGAGTTCTTTGATATAAACTCTTTGTATTAATTTAGCATATTTTAATTCTCCTCACTGGCCTTCATCTAGATAGCTTCCTTTTTGATAGGGTCACTCCAGACAGACTTGGCTCCCAGACATTGCCCTAAGACAATATCCCTGCTGTCAGTCTTTCCTGGCCATGCCCACCCCACCCTGAAGCAGAACTCTTCCCCCTGGGGCCTCTCTGGATCCTGGGCATCCTTGCACCAGACTCTCAGTGCTGTGTTCATCTTCACAAGCCACCCCCCTCCCGTTTCGTACAGCTCAGAGACCTTGAACCCCGCGTGGCTGCACCCCCAGGCTCAGCATGGTGCCTGCCACAGAGAAAGCTCTGAATGACTGCTGCCCAGCGGATGAGGACAGGAGCAACCAGCCCCACTGTCGCCGCTGCTGCAGCACTGCCTGCGCCCGAGACGCAGAGCTGGACTCACTGGCGAGCGGCCTGAACCGGATCCGCTTGCTCTTGGTCCTCACCGGCACCGGCTTGTACCTGCACTTGCCTGGCGGCGCTCGCCTGCAAACAGACAGAAGGCGATGATGTGAGCACTGCAGAGGCCTCAGGAAGCCGAGCCGCCAGAAGGCCGCTAGTCACAGCAACGGGGAGCGGCGCTCTCTTCCCACGGGTGGGCAGGAGCAGTGGAACTGTGGTGAGAGCTGAGAGAGAGGCACGGTGGGGCCACCATGCTCACCAGAGCAACCAGAGTTGTGCCGGCCACCCCAGGACAGAAACATCCAGAACAGGTTTTTAACACATTCAGGACGGGGCCGTGACTCATACGTCTCTCTGCTTGAACCCCCGGTGGTACCTGCGTGACTGCCCCGTGCATGACTGTACCGCTTTAGCACAGTGGTTCCGCTGGTGGGAATGTGTTACAAACAGGAGCCGCGGGGCTCCACGGCATCGTGGGACGGCTCTGATCCTCACTGCCAACTACAGAGGCCTTCCTCCAGCACTACATGGCTCGCAAGACACATCCTGCCACACGTGTTTGAACATACTGCTTTGCACCCAGAGCCCAGCTGTGCTCCCCCATCATGGCAGATCACTCCGGGGGGCCATGGTGGCTCATGACTACAGTGCAGGGCAGGGCTTACAAAAACACACCTGAGAAGAAAAGGACACCGGTTCTCACCTGGAGGGGTCGATGAGTTTGTAGACGGAGCCGTGTGGCGCGTACGCGCTTGGGTACGAGGTGGCCAGGAAGTAGAGCTCCCCTGTGGAGGAGGACAGCGGGCAGGGCTGAGGCGGGGCCAGCACGGGCAACAGTGAAGGCCTCCGCCAGTCACTGTAGCGCCAGTCCCCCTGCTCTGTCTCTGCCCCCTGGCTTCTCCTCCGTCCTGCTCTCCATTTGACTGCTTCAGCCAGGCCAGGGCTGCTGCTTCCTGTGACCCTGCCCCCCCCACTCCCCTCCGCCTCTCCACACCCACAGAACCACCCGCCCCCACTGCGTCCAGGACACGCGAGGACCAGCCCACTGCTGTCCACTCGACTCCAGGGTGTCCCGGTCCACCGCACAGGCCCTGTCACAGCCTTGGGGTCTGAGTGACCCAGTGTGCTCGACCCTCCGCCCCCAGCCGTGCCCTCTGGTGCCCTCCCGGAGTTTACACTGAGCCAGGTTCAAGTGTTGTCCACTCCTTGGAAGAAAGCGACAGAGGAGTTGCAACGAGAAAAGCCCCGGGGTAAGCCGGCCCAGGGCAGCTGCTGGCTGAGCCGCGGTTCTGTGTGCCGCCTGCTGTCTCCCCAGAAGAGGATTCAGAGGGCACACACCCTTGTCTGCAGTCGTTCCTGACTGGAAACCCCAGGTCGGAGCAGCGCCCCGTTAGGGGAATGCGGTGTCCCCAAAGGTCACGCACAGTTGGGCTGCCACCTGGCCAGGGGCTTCGGGTCCCCATAACAACCGCATCCTCTCCTGGCTGCGCTTCCCTTTCTGAGACCTCGTCCCGGGGGTTACAGTCTGCTGGGCGCCAGGCTTCTGCAACCTCCACACAGCTCTGCTCAGGGTCCCCCGCCCCCCGCCGGCAGCAGCCACGGCCTCTCGAGTTGGCTCTACGTTTGCGCCAGCTGTCCACGGTCAGTGCTCCGTACCCAGCAGTGGGTGAGTGGAGCACTGGCCCACCTGAAAAGTCGATTACCTAAGGCCAGTGACTGACACTTAGAACGAGTAAGCTGGCAGTGAAGGCACAGACCTGTAGTCCCAACACTGGAAGACCGAGGCAGGAGGATCACAAGTTCAAGCCCAGCCCGGGCAACTTAGTGGCTGAGGGAGACCTTGCCTCAAAATTTAAAACTAAAAAGAGGTAGGGTACAGCTCCCAATATGGAAAAAAATAAAACGAAATGAAGACATTCTGTTCAAAAATGACTAAGCGGAGAAGGATCTGCCAAGAGCAGGAGACGTGACTGCATCAGCGCTCCAGCACAAAGCGAGCCGCTGGGGGAATGACTCCGGCCAGCAGCCTCGCTGCCTACCGGGCTGCCCTGGGGTGGGGGCTCAGATTCCCCAGCTGGTCCCCGCCCAGATTCAGCCAAGGACTCTGGACCCGTTTGCGATCCGCCCTGACTGGTTTTCCAAAGCTGCGGATTCCTCCTGAGAGAAGCCGCCAGGGCCAGCTCAGGGGCCTCCCGAGAAGCCAGCCTCCCTGACACCCTGCCCCCAGGGTCCACGCCCTGGGTCCCCAAGGCTTGCAGCACCCAGGTTCCACGGCCTCCTCCCACCAGCCTGAGGTCTCACCACTCTTCTGTGTTTGCACTTTCAATTTGGAAATCACATAGACTTTCTTCTACTAAAAGTGCTAGAATTTTCCAAAATACCCTCCACATCTTGGACTATCAATTCATTAGCTGGCGGGGAGGAACGGGCTGGACTGACTGGATCCTGTCTGTCCCCCCAGGAGAGACAGCACAGATGCCAGGCTGTGGACAGAGATGCCTAGGGGTGGGGGGCTCTACACCTTGAGACTTGGGGTCCAGAGGGACCCCAGAGGCCACTTTATCACCTTCCCTGCCTCTGAGTATGGCTATGACCACTGCCAAATACCAAAAGTATGTAAAACAAAATAGAATTACGTTTCGGAGATTTCACCTTTCAAAAGACTTTATGTAAACTGAAATTAAAACTCAGCCCTCTTGGCCAGGCATGGTGGCACACAGCTACAATCCCAGCACTCGGGGGGCTGAGGCAGGAGGATCCTTGCAAGTTTGAGACCAGCCTGGGCTACAAAGTGAGCTCACGGCCAGCCTGAACTGCATAGCAAGACCCTGTCTCAAAAAGACAAACAAACAAAAAAAAACCTCACCCCCTCACCCCTCTTGTCATAAAATTTTGGAGAGGGTATTAGAGCTATGTGACCCTCCCTCCCCCACCCCAGCACACACCACTACTTGCCTGGCTCCAGGGGCCCCTCGACAGGTGTCCAGTGCACCCACTTACCTGGCCATTCACCCACTCTCAATAGCCCTCCGGGAAGGGATTCTCCCTGGCTCACACACCCGTGCTGGGGTCAAGAAGGAGCCCCTGTCCTGACCAGCCGGGGTCAAGCCCTCCCTGCCCACTCCGTCTGGGCTCTTGGCACCGCCCCCTCCCCGCATGCGTGACTAAGGATAAAAGCAGGGGACCCCGCGCATCTCTCATAGCCCAAGGGTTGGAAAGCCCAAGGCGCAGGCCTGAGTCGCCCTGCGCCATCCCGCCATGAGGGCAGGCTGGCACTGCCTGTGAGACGGGCGTCAGGGTCGCACCTCGGGCTGCGCCCTGTGCAGAGGCCAGAGGAGCAGGGCGCTCAGAGCCGCGCGGAGCGCGTGGTGAGCGATGAGGACGTGGCAGCCGTCGGGGCAGAAGAGCCCGCGCTGCTCACCCTGGCCGCACCGGCCGAGCGGCGATCGTCTGTGCCCCTGCGAGCGGACGTCGGGCAGCCCCGGTCCTTTGTTACCTGCCTCGTCCTCGGCAAACGAGATGATGAACTGGCTGTGGGCGCTGAGCAGCCCTGGGAAGGCGCAGGACACGGGGTCGCCCAGGCAGATGTCCCGCTTCCTCCATTTCTGGGTTTTTCTATCTTCCTGCAAAGCCATAAGTCGACTAGATGAAAATAAAACCTTGTATTTTAGGCGTCCGTATTTACAGCAGCAGACTGTTTCCACCTAGAGTCGGGGATCCTAGAGCACTGGGGCTGTGCCCACTCTCTCTAAACCTCAGCTTCCTTCTCTGTAAAGTGGAGAATACTGGCGTAATTTATCAGAGAGCAGAGCTCCAGAGGTTAAATAACATAAATAAGGCCACAGAGATCTCCCCCACTGCATGGCACACTGTAAGGGTTCAGGAGCCGCCAGCTGCTGGTACATGTTTACAGTCACAGGGGGATGCCCTGTGCCCGTCGTCATGTATGTGAGGGAGGAAAGGAAGCCGGATGGACTCGGGGCCTTGTCAGAAATGCCCAGAGCCAGGTGATATATGTACCGCAACCGTGAGTCCTTGCGTATCAGTCACACAGTATGTGTGCGTGGGGTTGTGGGGAAAGACGTAAAGATACATGAAATCCCAAAGATCTAATAAGTGACAATAAAGGACCTCACCCATTACCAACTCTACGTCACCTCGATAACCAGGAATTAAAGCATGAAAATACCTCCGTCCTTCCTAACTGTGGTGAGGAGTGGGAGCTAGATTCACACTCCCACCTTAGTCGGTCAAAAGCCCACACAAACTAGAACAGTGGTTTAAAAGACATCACAGATCAGGTAGTGTAGGTGTGCACTCCTGAAGGGACCGGAAGAGAACCAGGGAGTCCTAAGATTGTCCCAGCCGGGGAGGGGAGACACAGGCAGCACCTGACAGAGTCCACAGCACAGAGCTGAGAGTCCAAGGAGATCGAGGCAGGAAGCATTCCCAGGACAGACGCGGGAGAGAAGAGGATGACACAGAATGAACTCCAGAGAGCGCCAAGCCCCCCCCACACACACATGCACATCCGGGCACCCAGCAGCAGACACAAGAGGAAACCTCCAACGGCAGGGGGGATAGGCAGCAGGGAAGGTCCTTGGCACACGAATAGGCTCAGAGCAGCGTCCACAGAATCCTGGGGCATCGCAGGGTCCTCAGGCAGTCTTGTCCCATTGAGTGAGAGGCAGAGAGTTCCAGGGAGACCACCGCTTCAGTCCTGCTCCACAAGTATTAACAGCAAGGCTGGGGAGGGTCAAGCTGTTTCCAAGCAATTGACCGTGTCTGAGAACACCAACATATCCTGCGCTTACAAGTTAAGTGAATAGTTCCTGGCACCCCCTCAAAAATTACTAGGCAATAAAGAAGGAAAGAAATGCAACCATTATAGATAAGATCAATCAATCAAAATGGTCATAGAACTGGCACAGGCATTAGAGTTAGCAGAGAAAAACATGAAAATAGCAATTCGATGGTAACCCATATGATCAGACAGTTAAGCAGATGTATAGGAGATATTAAAGAAGGCCAAAATCACATTTCTAAAAGTGAAAATATAATTGAGAATTTAAAAAAAAAAAACCACTGGATGGGTTAAATGGCTGGTTAGACATTTCACAAGAAGACACATCTTAGAAGAAAGACATTTTACCTAAGTAAAAATTCAAACACCACATATCGAAATTCCTGTGATGCTCTCAGAGTGGTAGGGTGCAATTTATAGCACTAAGCACACATATTAAAAAAGGTGAAAAATTTCAGACCAGTGACCTCAGCCTCCATCTTCAAATAGTACAGCTAGAACTAACTAAACCTAACACAAGAAAAAGGAAGGAAAGGAGTATAAATCAGTGAACCGGGAAACAGAAAAAAAACATGTCAATGAACTCCACAGCTGGTACTTCGGGAAGATCAATAAAAATGTAAACTTCTAACAAGATGAGAGTGAACGATGTCTAGGGTAAGATGTGTAACAAAGGATCATGACGACAGTTTCTGTAGCTACTGAAAAGATAAGAAAGTAACATTACGAACAAATCTATACCAATAAGTTTGGCAATTTAAGAGAATTGGACGGACTTCTTGAAAGACACAGGCTACTGAGAATCACTCAGAAAGAAATAGATAAATTGAAAGGCTGTTAAGCAAATTGAATCTAGAGTTAAAACTCTTTCCTCAAAAAACACCTCAGGCTCAGTCAGTTTTCCTTGGGAAGAAGAAACACGGAAGGCAGGGATATCATGCACTCTTCCAGGGGCTTGAGGAGGAGGGAATGAGGCTTGGCTTGTCCTCTAGCCCACACTACATAGACACCAAGGTCTGACAGAGGTCTTACAAGCAAGGACAGCTCCAGCCCACAGTCCTCGCATGAACACAGATGCAAACTAAGCATCATCTTAGCAAAGCAAATTCTACAATATGTGCAAAGGTTGGTACATCCTGACCAGAAATGCAATGTTTCTTTAACAAAATAAAGCTATTAAATTCATCAGAATGAAAAAAAGCAATGGTTTTCTAAAGAGATGCAAGAAGCATTTCACAAAACTCAATACAAACTCTCAGCAGACTAGGAATAGAAGGAAATTTAACCTGATACAGACCACAGATAAAACATATAGCTAACATCATGTTTTTTGATAAGAAAAAATAGACTGTCTCCCCCTTATACTCAGCGCTGCATTAGGTATTTACACTGAAGCAAAAAATAAAAAATAAAAATCATAAAAAGGTTTTTCAATCTGAGAAAAGAAAAGGTATCTACACTTACAGATAACATAGTCTTTTACTTAGAAAATCCAGATTTTCTATTTCTATCTAAAAGCTGCTAGAACTTGTGAGATAGCCCATCACAAGCTCCATATGTAATGAAAAAGTTCTGTATGCTATCAACTAACAATCAGAAGCTGAAATATAACAGACGTTTACACTGTGCACCAAACATCATGGAATATTGGGTATGCAGACCTCTACCCTGAGCACGTGAAACACTGTCGCAGCTTCACTAACAACATCCACAGACTAGAAAGGGCCAGTCAACCAGAGGTGAGTGAAGAGCGGTGTATTTGTACAACTGAATATTATAAATCAGTAAAAAAGACAAAAGGATGGATACATGCAACAACATCCATGAATCTCACAGATGCTACCGAATGAGAGAAGGCAAGAGCGCACACCACACGATTCCATCTATTCCTTTAGCTTCAGATGAAAAGGTAGTCTGTGGTAAGAGTGCCATGCATGTGTGTGTGCCTGTGTATGTGCCTGTGTGTGTGTGTGCGTGTGCGCATGCACATGTGCCCGACCCCTACATGAGAAGGTGGGTGTCCATAGGCAAGAAGAGGCCTGAGGGTGAGGGTGATGGGAACGCTCTGCATCCAAATACAGCTGGTGGGAATACCAGTGTGGACCTGCGTGCAACTGCATCCAACTGTGCTCTTCTTCTACCACAATGAAACTTACTGAAGATCTTAACATAGAAAAGAGAAAGGGACACCGGTACTTCCTTACCCGCTCATGAAGTCCCCAAAGATGTAGAGACCGTTGAGGTTCGGGGACTCACATCCACGGTAGACATATCCCCCTGTGACTGACTTCCCCACCGCGTGGCCGTAGGCGTAGATGGGCAGGATGTCGTCTGCACAGGGACATGGAAGGAGAACAGCATCCACTGCCGAACCAGGGGACTTCAAGTGGGAGGAGAGGCCTCTTTAATGCAGCCACTGACTTGGGAGGACCATGGGTGCAACCATGGGAGGTCATCAGGCAGGCAAGCAAATCGCGCTTGCCGTGCTCCAGAGACATCATGGGGCGCTGCCTCTCACTCCCCGGAGCTGTCTGCCTTCTAAGCCCCAGCCCCCATCTCTATGCAGTAACCTTGGGGCCACACGCCTAGGTTGGACCCCAGGTCCCCTGTGAGGAAATGGGTTACACTGGGGGGGTATGTGATGCTCGTAAGGTGAAAGACAGAGGACTAAGAAATGGTGGCAGGGTCTGAGCACACCACACACCTCCCCTCACCCGAATACGTGGCACTCCACTCCAACTGGAAAATAATGAAAACCTACAGCTGTTAATTTTGCTCTGCCAGTAGTTCTCAAAATAGTAGCCCTAAAATTCACAAGTGTACATAATTTAAAATAGGGACTGCTGGTCAATCCCACTCACCCAATCCACCCAACACACACACTCACTAGGTCTAGGGTAGAACACAGGAGCCTACTTTTTAAAAAATAATCTTAGCCAGGCATAGTGGCACACGCCTGTAATCCCAGCACTCCAGGAGGCTGAGGCAGGAGAATGGCAAGTTTGAACCCAGTTTGGACAATTTAGTTACTTAGGGAGAACTTGTCTCAAAATTGAACAAGGGCTGGGGGTGAAGCGTGGTACAAAGACCCTGGGTTTAATCCCAGTATTGAAAAAAATCTTCACTGGCTTAGTTTCTATTCTAGAGTTGGGCACCATCCAATACATAGAGCAAAAAAGTGTCCCAAGGTCACACAAGGAGGTGGGTTCTATGGGGAAAAGAGCTGAAAGCAAGCAGAAACAAAGCCAAGAAGCAGACCGATCCTTTCAGGAAGGGGAGGCAGGATAGGGAGACGGAATAGCAGGAAGGCAGCTGGGTAGGTGGCATCCACAGCCCACACCGTGGTGCTCAGGCTGAGGTCCACTGGAAGCACTGCCCAAGGGGCCAGTGGTCAAGTGCTCACGTGTCCTTGAGGTCACTCTGCCAGTGACCAAGGCCCTGTGTAAATGGCCGGCCGGGCTGCTCAGGGTTTATCCCCCATCTCAACCTCCGGCCCACTCACCTCGGGCAAGAAGTGTCCACTTACCCAAAGAGGCGTTGTGACAGAGTTTGTGGTCGTAGCACTCGAATCCTTCCTTGGCCCTCCAGCCGTAGTTCCCGCCTTTAACGATGAGGTCCACCTCCTCAAACCTGTTCTGGCCCACGTCCCCACAGAACATCCGGCCGCGGCCCTGCCGTGTGACTGGGTCCCCTCTGTCCACCGCACAGCGCCACATGTTTCGGACGCCATAGGCGTAGATGGCGGGGTGAGCCCCTGGCTCAGAGAGGAAGGGGTTGTCCTCGGGGACCCGGTACCTGCTGCCACCCCGGCCAGGCCGGTTCACGTCGATCCTTAGCACTTTCCCCAGCAGCGAACTTCTGGAAGACAGAGGCCAAGGTCCAGCAGAGTGAGCAGGGAGGCGCGGAGGAGACTTTCCCCCTGCAGGCAGCGCAGCCAGGAGGTGCTGGGGGTCACACAGGGAGGGGGTGCTTTTTTCCTGGTACCATGAGAGGCTTGGACGTCCCCATCCGGGGCCCAAGAGAACTGCCAGGCAGAAGTGTGATGTGATCCTGATGTGAGGCCTCGGATGGGTTACAGCTTTAGCTTTTTATTGGAGGAATGAGGCCGGCTTCTCTCTGACAAGATCTCAGCCAGTCTATTCTCCCCGGGACAGGAAAGTGGTGGGCAGAAAGCGGCCCTATAGAGGGCTCATCTCCTGCTTGCCCAGGGGGAGGGTGGCAATCCAGGGGCCGGGGTTGGAATTGAGGGTTTAGTGAGCTGTGGGTCCACAGGGCACGATTCAAGTCCTAATCCGAGCAGGTGTTAGACAAAGGCCAGCGCCGCATGGTCAGCGACCTTCATGTCTGTGTTACTGGGACCCGTGGAGCCTGGGCAGAGCCCCCAGCGGGACCCCAGGCAGCGCTCGCCCCGATCCGTGGCGCTGGACTCTGGCTCTGCCTGGTGCTGCTGGTGGCCCCTGTGTCCCTGTCTAAAACGGGCACTGTCACCCGAGGTTCATTCACCCACGAATGCTCAGAGCACAGCAGGCGGCTGCTGACACACAGTTAACAGGAGAGGGGGCGGCTCCCCACTCGGCGGGCTTTGGAATCACACTCCCAGACACGCAGCTTGCGGAAGGCCCTGGCCTGCAGTAGCACCGGTGCCCAGCAGCTCTGCTGCCCACCTCTGGCTCCAGGACCCAGCGCGGAGCCTGGGGCTGCACTGCTGAGCAGAACCGAGCAGACCCTGGCATCCTGGATAGAGTCCTGCCAACCACACAGGAAATTCTAAACTCTTCTCTGCGTAGCTTTCTGAAAGTTACCCTGGGCAGCAGGAACATTAACTGCCAAAGTTGGCCATGCCCATTACTCATAGGACAGAAGGCAAAATACTCTTTCATTGGCCTCAGGGGAGTGGACGCCATCCTGCTGTAAGTGGTGTGGGTCTGACTCGGTCTCAGCTAAACCCCTGCAGCCGGGCTCCCTCAAGTCTAGGTCTCCTAGGGTTGCCTCCATCTTACTTGTTCTGAGCATTTCCAAACTTGCCAAAGGGGTCCCCGGCCTGCCCGCCGTCTCCAGTGAATATGTACAGATAGCCGTCCAGGCCGAAGAGCAGCTGCCCGCCGTTGTGATTGGAGGCTGGTTCTTCTATCTCCAAGACGACCCTGGGAGAGAAGAGGAAGCAAGGCATTAACCTTGACTCAGCCAAAGCTGCCCCTGGGGACACCCACGCTGATGGTCCAAGCACCGAGCTCCGCAGCGGCAGCCAGGCCCTGCTCCCACATGCCCAGGACAGCGGCGCGGTGGCTTGGCACACCGTCGCCCAGCTTCATGATGGAACCCCTCTTGGACCATTTCTCCCTCACCCCCAACTTGGGGGGCAGAGACACAGCGAGGGCAGCGGCCCCCTTCCCTCACACACCAGCAGGTGAGGGAATTTAGTTGCTCGACTCTCGTCCCTCTGCTGGAAGCAGAAGCCAGGCCGAAGGGAAGGGCAAGGTGGGTGGCAGAGTCCTCTGCCCCAGGGTCGGCAGCTCTGTGGGTGAGGAGCCCCTCGTTGAAGACCCAGCTCTGGAGTGGAGGGACGCCCAGCTATGATATATCAGCGCCGTCTGCGATCACTCCTCAAGCCCAACTGTCCGTCTTGCTCTCCTCTGAGAGACAAGCAGGCTCTGATGGGGCTTGTGGGGGTGACTACATCCCAAGAGGCCACCTGGGGGCAGAAGCTAGAGGCAAAAAGAGTGACTCGTAGGCACAGAGTGTCTCTATGGAGGAATGGAAATTTTCTAAAATCAATTATGATAATGGTTGCATAACTCTGAATAGATTAAAAACCACTGAATTGCATAGAAAGGGAGGGCTCGCCTGGGCTGTGCGCGTTACCCAGCAGCGACTCTTTTCCTCCACCTGGAGCTCCTTCTCCACACCCAGCTGAACTGACCGGGCCTGACCGGGGCTGACCAGGACTGATCAGCACTGACTGGGAATGACCCGGACTGACCAGGACCCCCTCAGAACTTGGGGCACAGGTGCAGACCCTCATGACTCAGCCTCACCTCTCTGACTTGGGTTCCGCTCTGTTGGGGTCAGCCCTAGAAACCTTCATCTCACTGATGCGGATCTTTTCCACCTTCTTCTTGGCCAGGCACGAGTAATAAATGTAGAACTTGCGGTTGCGGTGGAACTGGGGGTGAAAAGCCATCCCCAAGAAACCTCTCTCATCCCCAACCCATGGCGTGGTCAGCACGCTGCTCCTGAGGTCCAGGAAGGGCTGCTCCAGGCGGCTCCCGTCTGGCAGGTACACCCACACCACTCCCAGCTGCTCCGCCACGAAGAAGCGATGGGTGCCATCCCCGGCATGGACCATGGACACCGGGTTCCTCAGCCCATTGGCCACCTCGGCCAGGCAGAGCTGCAGGCAGCCTCGGCGGCCCTTGGCCACCACCCCCAGGTTGCGGGTGAGATGGTCATTCCTCAGCACGTTGGGGAAGCAGTAGTCCTTGTCTGGGAGTTCGAGCAGGTGGCAGAAGTGGGCGCCACCCTTGTCCCGGGGCCGCTGGGGGCCATGCTGGCTGGTGAGCAGGGAGATAGCGGAGTGGCAGCTGGAGTGGAAGGCAGAGCAGTAGTCGGAGCAGAGGCCTGGCAGGTTGCGGAGAGGCGACTGAGGGTTCTCGGCATCGTAGAGGTGGGCCGCATAGGGCGAGCACTCCTGGAGGAGGCAACAGGTTGGCAGGGCAGCAGGGAAATGGGCCGGGGAATCGGGTGTCTAGAGAGTCTGCTGCCCCCCGCTGGCACACCCTGATCCCTCCCTTTGACCCAAATTCTCTCCCCACTTCATGCTGCTGGAGGGGAGGGAAAACCGAAGCTCGCATATGCATTATTCCATCTCTGTCATTCCGCCTGGCCCCTCACACTTGAAGGTGTATCTCGGGATGGGTATTGTTAAAAGAAGATGAGATCAAATTTCTGAATGTTTCCCTTTTTATAAATTGCATTGTCTGCCTGATTTTATTTCTGTACACAAGTCTAAGGCAGTGTGGCACAAGTGTCACATTTGCTATACCTAGATGTTGGATAGATGATGTTAATTCATCTTCTGTGCTTTGCCACGTGTTTGAAATACTTCACAACTGCAATTTTTTTTTTTTTTTTTTTGTCTTTTTCAGAAAGGGTCTCACTATGCAGTTCAGGCTGGCCTTGAACTCACAGTGATCCTCCTGCCTCAGCCTCCCAAGTGCTGGGATTACAGAGGTGCGCCACCATGCCCGGCTATAATTGCAACTTAAATGATCAAGACGGACATTTGATATATCACGCCCAGAGTTTAGGTGTCTAATTTCCTCACAAATTTGTTAGTATATGTGTGTTTGATATGTGCAAAACTCTGCGGGGAGCTACGGCTATTCGAACAGGGGCTTTTCAGCAGCACAGCTGCTCTTCACACAAATACAAAAGGGCAGTAGATGCAAGGAGTCTCTGCTAGTTGCACATCCCTAGACTATGGCTGTCTAGGAGAGAAGACAGACAGCTCCCAGTAGCAATGAAGGAGAGACAACTCAGATTTGGGAAGTGCAAAAGGCTAGTTCAAAGGGCAGAGCTTGGGGCACTGGAGCAGAGACCAGCCTCCAGCCTGGGCTCTGATTGTAACACTCTCCACGATGCAGGGCAGCCTGGACTCCCCACTGTGAGTGCCCTCACTTCTCTAGAAACAAGCTGTGCTCCTTGTGGGAACTTGAGCTCCTGGCTGCAGCTGACAGGGCAGCTCTGGGTCACCAGGCGGAGGGGCAGGAGCCCAGATGTCCAGTGCCTCTCCTCGGGCTGCCTGGCCAGCTGCAACAGGACGCACATGACCTGCTCCAGACCTTCGCCTCCCAACACCGTCCGCTCGTGGGGAGTGGGAATGGAGAAGGCAGAAAAAGGAGGAAATGCAGGGAGTAGAGGGCTGTGTGCGTGTGGAAAGCACGGTTGCTGCCACTCCCTCCGCTCAGTGACTGAACAAACGCACGGTGCCTTAGGGGTAGGAAAGCCCAGGCCCAGGACGTCTCCGCCATGTGACAGCTCCACCATGTGACAGCTCCAAGCCTGTCCTGCACCAGGACCTGTGGGCAGCACATGGCTCAGAGCCTCTGCTTCTGGAACTCAGAAAAACACCTGTCCTGCCCTGTCCTGTCGTGCTCTGCCCTGCCCTGACCTGTCCTGTCACTTATTATACTATCCGTTCCTATATGATACTAGTCTATACTATACTATCTATACTATACCACCTATCCTAGCCTTTCCTATACTATACTACACTGTACTATTTATACTAGCCTTTACTATATTGTACTATACTATACTATCTATACTAGCCTCACTATACTGTACTAGCTATACTAACCTTACCATACTATACTATACTATCTATACTAGCCTTTACTATATTATACTATACTATACTATCTATACTAGCCTTACTATACTCTATTAGCTATACTAATCTTACTATACTATACTATCTGTATTAGCCTTTACTATACTATACTAGCCTTTCTGTAGTATACTATACTGTACTATACTATACTACCTATACTAGCCTATACTATACTATACTAGCTATACTAGCCTTTTCTATACTATATGATACTATACTAGCCTTTCCTATACTTTACTATACTATACTGTACTATCTATACTAGCCTTTCCTATACAATACTATACTATACTATCTATACTATACTAACCTCTCCTATATTATACTATATTATATTATCTATACTAGCCTTATTCTACTATACTCTACTATACCATCTATACTAGCCTGACTATACTATACTATACTATGCTATACTATACTATCTATAGTAGGCTTTACTATACTATACTATACTACACTAGCTATACTAGCCCTTTCTATACTATATTATGATACTATACTATCTATACTAGCCTTACTATACTATACTAGCCTTTCCTATACTATACTATCTATACTAGCCTTTCCTATATACACTATTCTTTTCTATACCATATGCTATACTGTTCTGTAGTATACTATACAAGAACCAAATCCAATTCAATGGTCACATTCAATGTTGACTTTCTGGGGACATTTGATTCAGTTCTCATCCAGTTTATTTGCAACAAAAAGTGTGGAAACAATTAAGCTCAAGAACTGAGGTGCCATGGTATATACCAGGTGGCGAGTCTATGGCATGCATGCTCAGCCAGCCATTTGTTGTCACTGAAAGCTCTAAAGTGTTCACCATCACTGCTCTATAATTTACTATACTATAATTCTATACTGTACTAAACTGTAGTTTTTATACCATGCACCGTACTATATGCTTTACTGTATTGTACTATACTATACTATCCTATGCTAATTATACCTTGCTGTGCTTTGACATGCCATAGGATATACTATACATTCTAATGCTATGCTATACTATACTGCACTGTGCTTTGTTACACTGTATTGTGCTACGCTATGCTGCACTCTGTATCACACTATACTATAGATTTTACTATAGTATGCCATATACTACACTACTTTGTGCCACACTGTACTGTGGCGTGAGGTGGTTGACCAAGAGCCCCCAGAACCTGGAGTCAGAGCAGATTTGCACACAGAACCCTCTGGCCTCCTGCTTGCAGTGAGCCAGGAGCCCTGGTACCTGCCTGTGGAATATGGCCTGGGGACCCACCCTGGTGCAGGGAAGGGAAGGGGCCTTGTGGGTTGGAGCAGAAGACACAAGTCAGGTAGCTCAGCTTAAATGACTCTTATTCCTTAGTCCCTAAAGCAAGAGGGCTGCTCAGTGTCGCCCAGGAGGGTGGGGAGAGGGCACTTCTGGGGCGAGGGCAAGGGGTCTCAGTGCTGCTGGTGAAAGCCTGGCTTCGCCTGGGTGGTCCACAGTCGCTCTCAGGGGGCAGTGTGGGGCAGGTGCCCAGAGGACAGCACAGGCCGAGGCCGGGCCGCCCAGTTGGCCTGTCTGTGCCAGGCTCTGGGAGCTCCGTGACCTCTGCAGGGAGTCAGGGTAGCCAGCCAGCCTGGCCCACGGCAGAGGGAGGTCCAGTGCCAGGCCTGGGAGGTCAGCCTGGACCCTGACACAGGGCTGAGCCCCCGACACCCGCTCCCTTCCCGCCTAGTCTGCACCACCTTCTCCCCTGGGCTCAACGGCGACGCCTCCCAGGGCTGTGGCTTTCGAGCCCTGGGAGCAGAAGCTGTGAATCACTGCCCCTTGACAGCTCCCCGGCCTGCAGTGCCAGGCAGACAGGACCCCAGGAGGGACGCCAGCTCCTAGCCCGCCCCATAACACTGGAGATGGGGCGTCGAGCACCCAGGGGTGAGCACTGGACACCAGGGCAGCCCGCACCACCTCTCCCTGCACAGCCCATGAAAGCCACAGGCCAACGCTATGCCAGCCCCTCCTCCAGGCTGTGCTCAGCCTACCTGGCACAGGATGTCCTTAATGTACCCTCCGCACAGCGCATGGCCCTGCAGGTCGAAGTAGTTCATGATGTCCCGGAACCTCGCAGCGATGCGCAGGTCCTTACGCTGGTCACAGCACCCGAAGGACTGGTAGTCAGAGCAGAACTCAAGGCCCACAGGAGGCCGGAAGGGGGGCCCGTAATCCAGGCACTGAGGGTGTCCCTGAAGCAAGCCCCCCTGGCCCAGCAGAATCGTGAGGCAGAGAGAGGAGGTGCCAAGGAGGAGCCGGCGGGGCCAGCAACTCCAGGCACCAGGCAGGCCAGAAGCAGACCCACCAGGCATCGCGGCCTCAGGAAGGCGGCTGAGTTTGCTTGGATTGGCGTCCCACTTTCCCCAGCATCGCTCCGCTCCTCCCACCCCCACATCTTCCTGCCTGCCCTCTGCTCCCGCCCCCTAAGTGTGCTAGGTGTTTCTGGGCAGTGTCCCTCCAGTGGGCGGAGGCCAAGCGTCCCTTGGGAAGCCAGCACGGAGTCCTGCGGGCACTGGCTTCGGGGCCAAAAGGTATGAGTTGCTGGGCTTCCTGCCTGGCAGGGCGGGGGCATTTGCATGTTTACCAGGCTTCACAGGCTGAGGGCCCAAGTGGCTGGAGCACCAGTCCCAGCAGCGACTGCCGGAGCGCTCACCGCGGGGCCCACGAGGCAGGGTGCACAGCGTGGTGCAGGGACAGGAGGCCGAGGGGACGCTCACCACTCCGGCATCCACAGCAAAGGACAGGGCGAGAAGAGAGACCAGCACGGAGACAGTGTCTTAGTCCGTGAGGCTGTGAGAAATTCCTCGCCCCGGATAATACATAAATACGCCTTTTCCTCTTACTGCTCAGGAGAGCAAGGAGGCCAGGATCCAGAGCCAGCGGGCTGGGTGCCTGGTGAGGCCCGTTCCTCATCGATGGCACCTGGTGGCTGCGTCCTCACACGGCAGAAGAGAGACAAGGAAAAATCCCTCCAGCCCCTTTATGGACCTATTGCTCCCAACGGCTCATCAGGGAAGGGTCGAAAGCAGTGAGCCAGCGAAGCCGTGTGCCTGCTGAATGACCGTGGCTTGCACCTTTCTGCAGCAAGGCTGCCTATCTCCTCAGGTGTGTGGACAGATAACTGCTAACACACGAAACCAACCATTCTGGCTCTAGCCAAGGCTGGGGGCCATTCCTTCCAGCCACACAGGCCTTTGGCACCAAGCCACTTTTGTCTGAACACGGTACTTCAGAAAATAACAAACCAGGTAATAGTGTTTTCTCTCACCCGCCACAGGTTCCGGCTCACGTGAGACCCTCCCCACAGGACTCTGCTTCACCTCTGTGGCTGTCCTTTGCCTTGTTGTGTGGTAGTATATTATTGGACTATGCTCGTATCTGCTGTACTTTCATAATAAATTTATTTCATCTGTATAAAATCACGATGTGGCTCTTCTGTTGGTGCCGATCCTAACCACAACTTTCTGGGGCCACATACATGTGGCTCCTCACTGTTACAAGGCCCCACCTCTTCTCTTTTGGGTTTGGGATTGAACCAGGCCTTGGGCGTGCCAAGTAAGGGCTCATCCCTCCACAGAGCTGCATGCCAGCGGCTCTAGTTGGGCTCCATGGCGTCCCCCAAGGCCCCATGTTAAAACCTGGACACCAGCAGTGCTGCTGGGGCTGAGGGAGACTTTAGGAGGTGGGGCTTAGCAGGGGAAGTGAGGCCACTGCGGAGGTGGCCTTGACCAGGGCACTGTGACCCTGCAGTCTCCAGAGCTCTGATCCATAGCCTGGCCCTGAGTCACGGGCCCGAAGCAACGGTCCACCCACCATGGCCTGCACCCTCCAAAACGAACCTTTCCTACATCAAGTTGATTTCCTCCTGTGTTTGATACTGTAGCAGAAAGCCAACAACACACACACACACTCACACAATTGGGTTAACATTATCCCTTAGTTACTGCAGACTGATCAGGTCTACAATCTCCCAAGTGAGTGTACAGCAAAGGCTAAATAAAAAGAGGTGAATGGAATCATTTCAGTGCTCCAGGAGGATCAGAGCCCTCTCACAGAATTCGAGATTCTCTCCAGGCTAAGACCAAGACCTTCTCTGGGTGTTGCGTATTTATTTGGTTATCAGAAGAAAGAAGTACTCAAGAAGGGCGGAACCACTCAAGGACTTCTCCAAGTAAGGTATTAAGTTAATCCACCCAGGAGCGAAATGCCCGAGGCTAGTCTTTATCTAGTTGAGGTTGGATCGAGGTTCTTTGGCTGTGGTCCTGTCTTATCCTTTGAGGCTTTCTGGCATCACCCACCACTACAGGCCTTAGTAGGGACTGGTGACTCACAGAGGCTCACTTACTTATGAGTCTACCACCCATCTCCAGACAAGCAGCCTAGGCCTTGGACAGACTCACAAGTAAACAGGAAAAGCCCATTGGTTAATTTAAGTCCTGCTCAGGGCTGCTTTACAGTGGTCTCCATCACACACACACACAGGGTGTGAGGCATGAAAAGAAACAAGGAGTGCACAGACTCCGTTAGGAAGTGCACCTTGTCGGGTCCTTCATTTGTACCAGGTCTACACCTGCCCCAGGGGCACCCTCCTCACTGTCTGTGTTCACATGTGCAGCCAGGGCTTTGGGTATGTCCCTTGCACATAACAGGTCTCTGATAAACATTCCTTCAATGAGTAGACCAAGAGCACAGAGGCCCACACTCAGCCCCAGGCCCAGAGGCCCGAGCTGGGTACAGTGCCCAGTACTCCCGGACCTGAGCTCACTCTGCCCTCAGTGTCTACCACAGCCCCACTGCCCTGAAATTTCCTCACTGGCAAAGCTTCCCTTTGAAATGCAGATGAAAGCCAAGTTTCTTCTTCTATGAAGGGCGCCCCAACCAGTTCTCCTTGGCCACCAGGGCAAGCTGTGCTGTGTGTCACCAAGAGGGACGCAGTCTCAACCCTGCCAAGCCTGTGCTCCAAGCTCTGGATGACACATGCCCCCCAGTGCAGAAACCACAAAATCTTCACACCCGAGGAAGAGTCAGGAGTGAACGGCCAGAATGGTTGTTGACACAGCCCTTCTCTCCTGTTTGTTCTGTTCATTGTCCTGCTTAGTTTAGCACTGCTTTTATTTTTATGTTTGTTTGTTTGCAGTGCTGGGGGTCAAACTTAGAACCTTGCAAGTTAGGCAAGAGCCCACCATAAACTTCATCCCAGAGCCCGCCAGCCCCTACCCCCACCCCTCCATCCCTGGCATCCGTGACTGCGTGACTGCAGTTCCCCGTGGTGGCACCAGGAAAACAGCGGGGCTCCCTTCAGCCCCAGGGTCTTCTCAGAAACAGGAGGCACCGTTTGTCCCTGGGTAGGTAAGAATGAGCACGTTCTCCTGTTCCATGTCGGACCTGATCTTTTAATGGCATGTATGTCTGTTTTACTTCAGCCATGAAAAATATGGAGACCTCATGGTTTGGGGCAAAAAGTGCTCCCAAGATTAGCAGGGAAAAGATCAGCTGCCAGCGCTGGTCAGTGACATGAGCTCCTGGTTAAAATCGGGCACATTTCAGATGGGTTACGCAGCATCTCAGATACAACTGCACAGCGCATGATTACATAGTAATGATGCAATCATTTTACGATAGATGCAAGGTGTCCAGTCAGTAGAACACTGGCAGAGGGATCCACAAAATATACTTTTCAGAATTTAGGACTAAGGATCATGCCCAAATGGCACAAGGCAGCTTCTGTTAGTGGAATGGCAAGGGAGGCACAAACCGCTGCTGGGGTTCCAGGAAGGAGAGCCACGTGAGGTTGCGAGGGGCAGAAAATCACAGCGAAGGGTACAAGGTACAGGGCAGAGAACAGAAACAAGCACCGCAGAGCCGTGGCCGCACCTAGGCAGTAACTCTGGAAGCACAAGCCAGAACCAGCCTGCCCTGCAATCGCTTTAGCGCCTACTTTGAAGCAAACAGGACTGCTTCACTTACTGTCCTGCTTTGCCAGGGCGGCCATGATCATGTGGGCATCTTGAACAACAGAAGGGCACCGTCTCCTGGGTCTGGAGACCCAAGGTCTGGGGCCAAAGAGGCGCAGGGTTGGTCCTATGTGGGGCCCTTCCGACTGCCTTCTGCACGCACGGCCTGCAGACACCGCGCCCTTTCCACCCTTGTGCGCAAGCGCTTTCTCCCCGGCCTGTGCCAACTTCCCCTCCAGCTAAGCACTCCAGTGTGAGGGACGGCGGCCACCGGCAGGACTCGGCGTGACGTGATAGCGGGAAGGGCGCCTGCACTTCATCGCGTCTCTCCTGCGGCCCAGGCCCAAGCACGCAGCCACACCCACGCTCAGCAGCGCGCCTGCGCCTCCACAGCAGCCAAGGCTGGCATCCGCCTAGGATCGGGTCACGCAGGACAGGAGTGCTGCTCCAGCTGGGCGGGGCTCACAGGGCACCTTCAGTGGCCGCCCGCCTCCGCAGTGGGCGGCGGGGCTGCGGGGCTGCGGTGAAGGAACGTGCAACACTCCTCGTGCCACGCGCTGCTGTCCTGTGCTGTGGCCAGCGCTGGGAGGTCCGCGCGGTGTGCAGCTGGAGTGGAGCCTGCGAGTGTGGAGAGGAACTCGCGGCCTTGCACTTGAAGGCACTGGTGTTCAGAGCTAGGGTGCGGTTCTGCATCCCACCATGAGCAAACGTGCTGCCGTCTCGGGTGCTTCTCCTTCCTCTTAGCCAACTACGCAGATGCAGCCCGGGCTCGGGACGAAAACAGCACACCCACGGCGTAGGCACAGTGGGGACTGGCGGGGCAGATAAAATGTTTTATCACTCCACAGAGAAAGTCTGTGTGCTACAAATATGAACAATTAGCTGCGTCCAAGACATGCACTTTCTCCAGACCACATGCAGAAGGTCTGGGTCTGAATTTCTTGTGGGACTGAGGAACAGCGGACCCTCACTTGATGACTGTAAGAGGCTGTAAGGCTGGAACTCGACGCCAGGCAGCTCCCGCCAAGAGCCAGCGCTGCCAGAAGCTGCTGCTATTCCACATCTCTGAGCTGCATCGTTCTGCAGACTTGAAGGCCCTTCTCTGCCACAAACCCTCCTCTAAGTCTAGGCCTCTTCCCAAAATTCCTCCTCAGAACTCACCGATGTTTTCCTTCAGGGTGGTAAATCTAACATGAGTCAATGAGAACCTCAAAGAACACAAATCCATTTCTCAGCAGTGTAAGTTATGCATTTTATTACACGGGAGCATGAGGCAAGTTATCTGTAAACAATAACTGCTGTACAGCTATATTTTCTAATTAAACAAATACCTTTTTCATCTGAAGAATCATTTCTTTAAAAACAGTGCATTCAACATTACAAAACAGAAAAAATACATATGTTTACAAAAAGCAAAGGCAGTGTGGTTTTTTTAGCTGTAACTCACAACAAAATGAAACATAAAAAGTATAAAAAGAGTGTTTATAGGCATATAAACTACTTTCGTAAGACATCAAATAAATATACTCAGTAACTACTGAGCTACCACTCTGTGGCTACAACTGAAAAATAACTAAAATTAAATCATACTGCTGGTTTCACAATGCTGTATTTTTTCACTGATTTCTTCATCCGTTTAATTTTCTTCCTTTGGTCTTGATGATCTTGTTTTAAAATATAACGAAAATACCTACAGCCTAAAAACAAAACGAAAAACAAGCAAAAAGCTTTAATGCTCACCTGTTTAAGGCATACACCTACATTTGTGAAAGTGTCCTCCCACTCTGACATACTAGCGACTGTGAAAATGATTTATCTGTATTGTCTGTACCCACAGCTTTAGCACATTCCAAAGTTGGAACCAGGGAATGTAGCATTTCCTGCACACACAGGCACTTCTGGCCCATCATAACAAAGGCAAACACTTTGATTTCTATTCTACCCCTCAACGCTTCCGAGAAGTCACAGGACGAGTTACTTTCTTCACTTCTGATATATGTTGCGGGCAGTTTCATTCCACCACTGGACACCCTTCAATAATTTCAGTGGCACACAGCAGTTAAGTTTTTTGGTTATTTTTTTTTTTTTTTTTTTTTTTGGTTTTGGTTTTTCTCCAGTGCCGGGAACCGAACTCATGACCTTGTGCTTGCCAGGCAGGCACTTTGCCGCTGAGCTAAATCCCCAGCCCCTCTGTGGTATTTCTTGAAAGGCAGGTGTGTTAGCAACAAATTCTATAAGTTTTTAAAATCTGGAAATGTTTTTGTCTTCAATTTTGAAAAACTGCCTCACTAGCTACCACATTTTTTTTTGTTTGTTTGTTTGTTTTTTGTTTTTTTTTCTGGTACCGGGAATCAAACTCATGACCTT